CTTAAAGAACACCACTTTCAGAACATATGGCAACCAGGTTTGAATTTTATTTCAGTCACACATTTAATCATTCTTATTTATTTTCTTTTTGTTTAAAATTTTTAATTTTGCCTTCTTATTTTGTAATTATAACATAAATTGAAAAACATAGTCCTTACAACTGACGAGATGAATGCCACTGATCAGAACAATCTACATGAATCTTTCAGTCACCATGAGGTAGAAAATTATGCAACATCAGAAAGGAATGATGTTGACTTAGAAGACAAATATGTTGAGTTGAAGAATGAAATTGCAGAGGTTAGAATACAAAAAAAATTATTTAATATATTTTTTACATTTTCAATGCATTTATTCATTTTTTACTGTTTCATGGCTGGTTAGACATGAGTTGAAAGAATTGAAGGATATTGTTTATTTTCTAAAATCTTTTTTCCATTAACTTCATAATACATCTTATTCTCTAAATTTTTTTCATTAATATATATGTTTATATTGTTGAGATGGTTGACAAGCACATGATCGAAATTGAAAGCAATAATTCGATAAAGTTGATAATCGTTGAGATTTGGTCATCAAGAAGTCAGCCAACACAAACATCAGAGAAAGAGGTAAACAACACATACATAATCTTCATAAATTTAAAATTTATATATAAGAACTGAATAATTTGACATGAATGTGATATAAAATTGTTTGCACATAGTAAAGTCAGGTACACACTTATATTATTGCGACGATCAATTGCACACCTGAATTACTTAAAAGTGAATTTATTCCAATCCTGACGCACACACAACTAGTCACATGATCATAAAGTGTCTCACACTTGCGCCACGTCATCACCATGTCACTGCCACATCAATAATTACGTCAGATTTTCTTTAAAAAAATCCATGTCACCTAATTTCTTCTTCTTCCCTATACACCATCAAACCCACCATTAAATTACTACCATTGTTCCTACTATCATCGAATTCACTTCTACACCACCATAGATTTCAGCACCCATAATCAAATTCACCACCGGAATCTTCCCACAACCATTTTCATCATAAAAAATCGATAGCAAGCACCATAAATTTAACTAAATTCACCATTGGAACCATATCACTATCATTGAAATTCATCACAATCATAACCATAAATTCACCATCCACATCAAAATCACGAGTTTCATTGTCATTATCATCAAAATTAAAAGTCATACCACCACTAATTTTTCACCCATAACCAAATCCACCACAAAAAATTATCACAATATACAAATTTCATTCAAGCTCAAAGAGGAGAATTGTGAAAACTTGCAATATTTATTTGAAAATTTTAGTCAGACAATTGAAAAACTAATGCTCGATTTACTATTACTGATTTTGAAGAAAATCTAGAGAGGATTTTTTAAAGAGAGAATAAGGATCTATGAACATACATTAAAAATTGATTTTTGTGCAAAAATCAAGAAACGTTTTACACAAAAAAAGAAAGATCTAAAATTTTTCTTATTTCAAATGCTCACAATCAACAAAAATGTAGGGTAACGTGAAGGAGAAGGGTGGGAGTGGAAAAAAATTTACCTTTTTTTTTTACTCTGACGCGCCTTTTTTATTTTTTATTTAATCTTATTTCCATGTCAGCTTTGAGGGTGATATTAAATTCACTTTTGAGTAGTATAAGTGTGTAATAGGTCACCTCAATAGTTTAAACATGTAACTGACTTTTTGATACAACTTCAGGGGTGATTTATGCCCTTTCTCTAGTAAAGTATATTAGTGATCTATTTTGTGTATGATGTTGGTTTGAAGTTGGTATTATGCTGGTATGAATATTGTATGAGCCAGTTCTTATGCATTATTTTTCTGTATGATGTTGGTTTGAATTTGGTATTAGGTTGGTATGAATATTGGATGAGGTAGTTCTTATGCTTGCTTTTTCTGTATGATGTTTGTTTGAATTTGGTATTAGGTTGGTATTAACATTATATGAGGCAGTTCTTATGGATTATTTTGTGCATGATGTTGGTTTGAATTTGGTATCACTACTAAAAAACTGTGAAAACATGACGGCCAAAAGCGACTGACTACGTCGCTTTTTTGGTCAAAATCGACGGAAAAGCGACGCAGTCACCTTCGTCGCTTTTTAGCCCGACACTTTTCAAAAACGACGGACTGCGTCGCTTTTTGAGTATTTTTTTTGAAGCGCCGGACTCCATCGCTTTATTTTAATTTTAATTTTTTTTATTTCTAAAAGGCGACGCAGTTCGTCGCTTTTCTGGAAATTTTATTTTTGAAAATTCCTGAAAAGCGATGGACAAAACCACGTTGTCTGTCGCTTTTTTGGGATTTAAAAAAAAACCCAGAAAAGCGACGGACAAAATCGCGTTGTCCATCGCTTTTCCTGTAATATTTTTTACACAGTTTCTGCTGCCCACCTGCAAATGCAATTCAATTCAATTCTACACTATTCAGCCCAATCAAACACACACAATTATAAACAATCTAAACAAAATATAAAACAACAAACTTAAAATAACATTAAAAAGTATCTAAATCACAAATTCAAGACTTATAAAGTCTTTCAAAATTACAAAAAGTTCATAAATGTCTAGAGATCTAAACTAGGGAGTGGGTTCTACATAATCATCCTCACATTCTCATCGTCGATGTCATCGAGAGCCGAAGTAGTAGGTCGACGAGCGAGGTTCATCATTTGTTCTTTGATTTGCTGAACGGTCTCACTCATGCTTTCTTGTTCAGCTGCTCTTCTCCGCTCCGACTCTGCTAGTGCCGCTGTAGGTTTAGCTATTTGAGCCGACATAGCAGCAATCTAAACACTGTCAAGTGCCTCAGTTTGATGTGACGATCCAATTCCTTCTAAGCCTGACTGGAGTCGTCTTACATCGTTTCGAGAGCCTAGACCATAGACACCTTTGTGTGTCCCCCCTACCACTTTTTCTTTCCAAATCTGGGTGGAAAGTTCAGGTGTCAATTGAACCGAACTATCTAGATTCTCAGCGACATACTGATGAAAGTCATTCTGCATATTAAATATAAAAATTGACATTAATATATATACATATCATAAATATATTCACTATTAATATATATTATTCATATTAAATAACTTACAAAAGTTCGTTCGGCCCTTTCCTCCACCCACACATCCGGATCC